GGTTTCCTGCTGAGCACCGAACTCTAGGACTCAGTGCCCTGGTCTCTGTGAGGTGAGTTGTCCTTCGTCCTGATAACTGCCCACCTGCAACTGAGCCTTGCCTCAGGAAAGTTCTGCTCCAGGTGTCCTCTATCGAAGACCACCCACACTAACCCTACCTCACAGCAAAGGAGAAAATAGTTTCTTGTTTTCCCACCATCACCTTATTATCAGTATAAATTAAATATTTTCACTGAACAGTATTTATGTGAGAAGAGGTTTAATTCTCAAAACTTGTGTTTAACATCTACATAATTTCATGCCTGATTCTGTGGACAACAGTGAATCCCATTCATGAACTGCACACATCCATCATTAAGTAACTCCTTGCTCATGGTGAAAAGATATCAGAGTCCTCATTTGCAGTAGAGAAAGACTCAACACCTTTGAATCTCTGCACTACCCCCTGTGCTCTGCAGACAGCTTAGCTTCAGTCACAGTTGACAAAGACACATTGTGCTTAGTGGCTTGTGGGATTGTGAAGGATCCATGAAGAGGTAGACCTTGGCCTCACCAGAGCCTTGTGAAAGTTTGTTATAGACATTTATATTAAAAATAGTGACAAGAAGGAAGCAAGTGTCATTTACACAAAATGAAAACACTAAAAGACAATATAATGTCTGTGGTGACAGACAGCATAGACAGATGGCAGGACAAGGAGTTCATGTGTGTGTGGAAGTGCTTAACAGAGTAAGGAATCAATGCAGTGGGAGAAATCATATTGATATATTTTTTAACAAGTCTGTATAGGAAAAGAAAGTATCATAAACATATTCAGCTTCCTCTGCAATCTTTTCTCCAACTACCTCTCCTACTGACAACCTTCTCATTCTGTTTCTCTTCCTTTACTTGTGCCTTTCTTCACTGCAGGGTGTCACAGAATCTGCTTGTTCATGGTTGCAATGTCCTTGTCATACTCAAAAGTCAGCACTACAGAACATTCCTCTCTGTATCTGACTCTCTCAGTCTTTCCACCCCATCCTCCATGGTGCTGCTTGAGGAGATTCTACCAGTGTGTCACTTGTCACTCAGCAAATAGCATCACGGTCATCTGGTCAGTAGCATTGTTAGGAGACTGCAAAAGGAAAACCAAAGTAAATTAATTGTGCAGACCTGAAGAACAGGTGCAGAGAGAGGACAGCTAGCATGTTTCCTCACTCTACCCTGAGGTTTTTTCCTGTCAGTTAACTGCATGCAAAACCCAGGAGACCTCCAAATTCCAGCTAGAGCCCATGCATTGAAGGACACCAGATCTGACAGAGATGAGTTCAATTAGTTTCTAGAATCTGTCACTCTCATGGGGATGGTACAGAAACAGAAATGTCATAACTCAAAGTCATTCCCCGTCATATAGACAGTTTACCTATGGTAGAATGACTTCCTCAATTGGAAAACTAGGAGCTGGCACTTTGACTCATGTAGAGGTGATTTCAAGGCTCTTCATGCTGAGAGTCACCTCCATTCAGTAGAGAGGGATTGGGCAAGATGGGAGAGATGTTAGGATATCAGAGAAGGTTCCCAGAGTGGAGAATCTAGATCTTTCTGTACTCACAGACATGTTCCTTATAACTTTGTGGTTGTTCAGTGACCTAACTTACTGGAATGCTGCATGAAACACAGCCCAATCCAGACAAAAACAAAAACAAACAAGTGCAAATCTTTCAAAAGTTATTTATATAAAATAATAATATATACAACTTGAATGTGTTTATTTTTCAAAACTGGTTATCACACACCAGTTGTTTTTCATGAATCTGCACTAAGCTACCTCCATGGAACCAATCCCTACAATTTAATATTTGGATTCAATATTCATAAATCATTACTATTCATTCTAAAATGATTAATATTTTATTATAATGGACCCCATGGCACAAATATGGCAGAGGGGTGTCTGTAGTTCAAAACACAATACAATAAGACTTTGGATTATATCACAAATATGTAATAAGCAACGGGTAATACTTTAATTAATTCCCAGTTGCTCAGTTCTGTCTCCTTCATCTGCTTGAGACATTCATGGTTAATGCTTCCACCACAGAACTCATTGTGCAGCAGAAAATGTAGATGAGGCCTCCCTCTGCTCATAAAAATATAGCCCAGCCCTGACCCTATAGCTTTGTCTGAGGAGCTCAGCCAGAGGTTGGGCTTTCCACTCAGAGTTCTGAGTGGACTCAAAAAAATCTGAACTCAGAATATTCTCCCTGAGCTTCCTTGTGAGAGGAGATTTCCTTGTTGATTTTAACTTGGATTGGTAGTAAAATAAGATTGTATTAAAAATAAAAAATTAAATTAAGTTATTTTTTAAAGAAAAGGTTTTTTGATATTTTCTATCTAATTGCTGTACCCATCAATATCCCCACTCAAATGCCTTTCATATCCATCCCTTCCTCCTTCTCAAATTCATGGCTGCTTCATCTTTAATTAATATTTTTCATGTGCATATTTTTCTATGTGTATTTAATCTACTAAGCCCAATTTTCATTGTGTATATGTACATATGTTTAGGCAGTCCACTTGGGATTGAATAATTTATCAGAGAGAGTGTCCTTATAGAAAGCTGATTCTCTCACTTTTACCTGGCACTTATTGCCTAAAGCTTTTCATTTAGGGATTGGGACCTGTGATGTTTCCCCCTCTATAACTGATATCCAGTTCAAGCAGCCATATTGTTGAGATTTCATGGGTCCAGCATCCCTGCCCTGTCTAGAAGATCACATTGCATGGTGGCATCCTGGTCCTCTACATCTTACACTCTTTCTGTACACTCTTCCAGGATTGTCCCTGGGCCTTAGGTGTGGGGTTTGCATTGAAGATGCATCCAGTGTGGTTGGTCATTCCAGGGTCACTTATTTTCTGCATATTTATCTCTTGTGGATCTCTGTAATACTCTATGTCTACAGTTTTGATGGGGGTTGGAGGTTATAAGGATATATACTTTTTTTTAGGTTAGAGTTAGAAATTCTATTTGTGTCTCACAGGTGTTATCTCAGTATAAGTCAAAGTGTTTGTTGCCAGGTTGGTGTTTATGTTTCTGATTTTGTACCATGTGGAGATCTTTTGTAGGACTAACCAACCAAAATGATTGCATTTCAGGTTGACTCTGTAAGATTGAACCTGTATCCAATAATTTTAATTGGAGGATTTTTGATAAATTCTTTTTTGATATATGACTGCATTTTATGTGAGATTTTTGATGATTTACATACACATTTATATGTGATGTATATGTAACTGTATCCAAGAGCCTGTGACTACATAGTCCAGGGATCTAAAAGAAAACCAACACTTCCTTTCGGCTAAAGGATCAAAGCAATAAAATGAATCCTAATGACTCTACCGTGTTCATACATAGATCAATGACTTCCTCAGCCAGAGAAACTCCCTCCTGCAGCAGACAGGAACAAATTCAGAGACCCACAACTGTAATAAATGCAGAGTAAGCGGCCTTGGAACACTCAGTCCTGAATGGAATATCTCCATCAGATCCCTCCCTGCAGGGATCAGGGAATCCTGCATTTGAGGCAGAAAGATTGTGAGAGACACCGAATGGAAGGCCCCAAGGACCCTGGGCTTTCTAAACAAATAAGGACTGAGACATATGAACACACATGGAGACTGTGGCATCCTGCACAGGGACAGATGGGACCCTAGGGCTGAGAGGGACAGTGCACATGAGCCCCCATCCCTAACCAGATGTCATCTCCAGTTGACTGGTAACCACTTGCAAAGGAAAAGTAACTTCTTTCCTAATAGTGTATAGTTGGTAACAACACAGACACTATTATGGATGGGCTTTGTGTCCAGCAGTAGATGGTCATCACAAAACAAACTCATTGGCATTTTTGGAGATTGTTTGTTTGATAATGTTTTGTCAAGAAGCAACCCAAAATAAAAGCCCCTTACATTGCTAACAACAAAATCCTCATGGCCTATATGTTAATATGCAGAATAATGAAAATTTAAAGTCATTTTCTATAACTTCTGACTTTTAAACCATAATTTTTTAAAACTGAAGCTACAAAGCTTATAAAAATATGACTTAATCATTTGGACCATGGCACATGCAATTCTTTACTAACATTGTCTTATTGACTCTATGTTAGAGTGGCCATTTGGAATAGAAGCCATGGAGTTTAGCATTGGATATTATAATTTCTACATAAAATGCACCATTCTGAATCACAAAATAAATAAAATTCCATCACCTAATGAAAATTAGATTCACCTCCTGGTGAGCTAAAACCTGAACTTCACTTGCCCCCTGCTGCTCCTCTGGCAGGGCCACCTGCAGACACAGAAGTCAAAGCTCAGCTCTCCTTGAAGTTCAGCTTCTCAGTCACTCCCCATTTCTAGAGACAGATAGGTGACTGTTCACTAAAAGAAGAACTGAATTAGATGATGAGGACACAAGAAATACACACACTGTCTGGAGAAGAGTGATGCATGTGATTAGCTGAACACTGGAATTCAGACATGTCACATGACCTCCATAAGAAAGAGAGTTCCCAACCTCAGAAAGCAGCTGAACACATAGCTATAGCTATACAGGGAGTTTTATATTCATCAGGGATTCACTCCTCACAGTAGTGCTAACACCTACAGAAATGAGCACGGCAAAGCAATGTCACCGAGGATTGTAATCACAGACAGGGAGAATTGAGTTGAAATGAACATGAAAATGAGTGTTTTGTGTGCAATAGGGATAATAGGGGATGATTGCAAAATGATGCAATTTAAAAATATCATCTTCCACAGCATTAACATCAAGATCTGATTCCTCCAGTACATTAACAAATAATGCAGGACCTGCCTTTTCCAGGCTCCACTACAGAGCTTGCTATAAAGCAGGAAGACATGCAAATGGACCCTCTCTCTGCTCATGAAAAGGAGCCCAGCTGTGAACTTGTAGCTCAGGCAGAGGAGCTCAGCTGTGGATCCCAAGACTTCACTCAGGGATCAGCATGGAGTTGGGGCTGAGCTGGATTTTCCTTGTTGCCCTTTTAAAAGGTAATTCATAGAGAAAAGTAGATGCTGACTGTGTGAGTGGACATTAATCTGAGGGACAATGGACATGTGTGATGATTTCTTGACCAGCATTTTCTGTGTTTTCAGATGTGCAGTGTGAGGTGCAGCTGCTGCAGTCTGGGGATGCTCTGGTGAAGCCTGGGAGGTCCCTGATCCTCTCCTGTGCAGCCTCTGGATTCACCTTCAGTGACTACTGGATGAACTGGATGCGCCTAGCTCCAGGCAAGGGGATGGAGTGGGTTGGGGAAATTAATAAAGATAGCAGTAACACAGACTATACACCATCCTTTAAGGATCGATTCACCATCTCCAGAGACAATGCCAAGAACACTCTGTACCTGCAAATGAACAGTGTGAGATCTGAGGACACTGCCACTTATTACTGTGTAAGATCCACAGTGAGGGGACCTCAGTGTGAACCCAGCCATAAACCTCACTGTGAGGTCGCTCACAGCCACCAGGGGGCGCACAGCACACACAGAACACAGGTTCATCCCAGGAGATTATGAAGACAAAACTGTGCAGTCTTCTCAGTAGGTTAGTCTCCTTTCATCTTATAGTTCCCAGCAAGACTCTCTAAATATGTGTGCTGTGAGTGACTGTTGTCATCAAAACATCTCCTGTATTTCTTCTGTTATTTAAGAAAGGAAGAGGAGTCTCAGATGAACACAATGTAAAGTGACAGCTTTGAGGGAAAAACATCTCCATTTTATCACTGAAACCACAAAAGGAAGTTCATGAGTGTTCCAGTGTCTTTTTCTCAGATTCAAGCAGATCCTGGCTCAGATTGCAATATTACAGTAGCATTTATATTTAAGAGTAAATCAAGAGGAAGAAGGGGCCCAAATACAGGTATATAAACCTTACCAAGGCTCAGACCTCCCCTCCTCTCCCTGACAATGGTGCACATCAGGTTCAGACATGATCCAGCTGTGACTTTTAGCCAACTCAGTTTATTACTCCATGATTTTCCTGTCTGGAAGACATTGAACATCTGCATCTGCTAATGTTCATGAGAAGTGAAATGTGCTCACCTAGAAAATCTTTCAAACACACATTTGCCTTTCTATCTGAATCTAACAGGGATCACATTGAGTCTGAGAGGCGTCACCTTAGCAGTGCAGACCCAGTTCATTTCTCTAAGAGTCACAGAAATTCCAGCTTTGTTCTCTCAATTGCTTCCTTCAGTGTGCAAAAGGCTGAGTAAGTCTTTCTTAGTAACTTTTCTATGGCTGTGATAAAAAACTATGACCAAGAAACATATAAAGAAATAAAGAATTTAGTTGGGATTTTGGTTTCCAACATTAGAATCCAATATTTCTAAACCAAAGGCTTAGTGGCTGGAGCAGTTGATGGCCCATAGCTTGATCCACAAGCTGGCAGCATAGAGGCAAACAGAAAATGCCATGAGTCTGTAGAACCTCTAAGCCTCCCTGTATTGAGCCACTTTCTCCAACAAGACCACACTTACTATTACTAATACATCACAAAGAGTTCCTCTAACTGAGGACCAAGTTTTCAAATATAATGGTCCATTGTGGGTCATTCTAAATCAAACTACAACAGCCCCATTCACTGAAAGGAATGTGGCACTGACAGTTATGTACAAGCACAATGAAGGTTTAGGAAGAAGGTGGTAGTCCTGTCAGGGAGAGCAGGAAATGGCAGATTCCATTAGCTGAGTCCAGGAAGTGGGCAGACCTCCTCCTGTCAATGAAAAGTGGATTCAAGCTAGGTGTGATGCTCCACATTGTGTACTAAAACATTCCACAAAAATTTGCTTAATGAAAACTGAAGGTGCTATTCTGTGATGAGGTCACATCTCAGCGACAGGAAAGGCTCTGCAGTTGGCAGCAGAGCTCAGCCAGCTTCGCCAAAGTTCTGCTTCATCCTTGCTGTGTTTAAGAAAAACAATATTAAATCAACAACTGGTTGACCTTCAGAGAGAGAGAGAGAGAGAGAGAGAGAGAGAGAGACAGACAGACAGACAGACAGACAGAGAGACAGAGAGACAGAGACAGAGACAGAGACAGAGACAGAGACAGAGACAGAGACAGAGACAGAGAGCCTTTTTCATGCTCAATCCCAAATGGGTTGTCTTTGTCATAACCCTCCTGAGCCCTCAGTGCTCAGAAACCTATGAAGAAGAGTGGGTGGAATGATTCGAAGAACCAAAGGCTATGGGCAGCATCAAGGAAACAGTTTCTAGGACACAATATAGCAGATGCACATGTGAACTCACAGAGACTGTGAACAAGACGAAGAGAAGGTCAAGCCTGTGGTGATATCTTGTTTGTACAAATGAAGCTTGTCTGAAGATCAGAGGATGGAGCTTTCCACTACCTAACCATAGAGGGCTGACGGTCTGTACAGACAGACAGGAAGTGAGATGGCTGGGAAGAGACAGGTGAGATGTCTGGGCAGAGAGAGGATGTAAGAGGGAAGAAACAGGACCTTTCTCTCTTTTCTGCTGGGAAGCGAATAAAGTAAAGTTGGCTTTGGTTTGTGATCTCTCAACATTTTTCTCTATATCTGACTCCATTTTACCCAGCCTACAATCCACAACCCCAGAGAAGCTATCACCCTCTTCCTGAAACAGATGGAGGCAGATATATAAATCCACAACTAACAAATGTGCCAACCTTCTGGAGTACAATCAAAGTGAGAGAGGAGCGATAACATGAACAAAGGAGTCAAGACCATGATTGGGAAACACAATATCAGATGATCCAAGCTAGTGAGAGATCACTGTCTCTGGTCTGACAAATGGGGAACCTGGATAAGATCAATCTGGACTCCCTTAATGTAGGTGACGATGGAGGGAAGGGGGCAATATATGAGGACATTGGCAATGGGCCCAAGACCTAACTCTAATGCACAAATTGACTTAGTGGAACCCACTGTGTATGGAGAGATACACAGCCTAGACACCGGGGTACATGGTAGTAGGGAGGGAGAACACCGGTCCTGCCTCAAGAAGATGATGGGACTGACTTTTGGAATTCCAAGGGGAGCCTTGACCATCTTTGAGGAGAACATAAGAGGTGGGGAGGAAGTGGGGGGATCAGGTGGAGAGAATGGAGGGCAATGGGTATTGGAATAATAAAATATTAATAAAGGTGTGTGATGGTGGTCCATGTCTTTAATCCCAGCACTTGGAAGGCAAGGCAGACTGATCTCTATGAGTTCCAGACCAACCTGGTCTACAAGAGCTAGCTACAAAGCCACAGAGGAAACCTGTCTTGAAAAAATAAAAAATACATTAAAAAGAATAATAAAGAAAGTGTTAAGAAATAAGTCAGTAGATTAGAAGCAAAAAAAATCATGCAGGCGCAGAAGAATTTGGTTGAGCTAGGGAGTGGAGGTGGGGTGGTGACAAGATGTGTTTCCTGTGATCCCTGTGGTCCCCATGTTCTCTATTCCAGACTCACACTGTAGGAAGTCAGACACAGTGATGTCCATATTGTAATAAGTAAATGGAGTGGTATCCACCCTGCTCTTTTATAAGGACAAGGTGACTCCCCACATGTAAATTCATCTATTAGCTCTAAGTTAAATCCCCTCCTGAGCTGTGGGATCTCACATCTCTCTCACAGGAGCCTGACCTCTGAGAAAAGGGGGTGTAGCTTAGAAGAAGACACTGTTGGGTCTTCTGTACCTTGTGTAGCCCTTCCTGGTAAGTGTGACTATTTCATACACGTGTCCATGAGGGGATGTGACAACATGTGATTGGCAGAACTGGCTCTTCTTGTCTGAAGGTGTCCTGTCCCTGATCCAGCTACAGGAGTCAGGACATCACCAATGGTTATATTTGGAGCTGGATCAGGCGGTTCCCAGGGAAGAAGCTGGAGTGGATGGGGTACATAAGTTATGATGATAGCACCAACTACAACCCACCCTCAATCCCCGCATCTCCATCACCAGAGACACATCCAAGAACCAGTTCTTCCTGCAGCTGAACTCTGTGACCACTGAGGACACAGCCACATATTACTGTGCCAGACACACAGTGAGGGGACTTCAGCATGAGCCCAGATGTGTCACAAACCTCCCTGCAGAGGAGCTCTGGGCAAGCAGAGGGAACTCAACACAAACCAAGCCCAGGAACTTCAGAGCAGGGAAAGAAATACACCTGGTTTCCACTGACTTTACTTAGCATTCCCCAAGCACAGAGAACACAGGGGGCCTTTTCTCTCTCTGATGCTGAAATGCTGTGTTTATGTAATGTCACATTTGTTTGTTTCTCACTCTGTCTCTCAATACAGGGTGCGTAGTAATATTTCTTGTCCTTTTGGTTGTGGTTTTAGCATTTACAATCTGAGCCATCTCTCTGGTCTCAGGAATATGTTTTTTCTAACATATATATATATATATATATATATATATATATATATATATAGAATGAGTGGAATTCACACCTCACTGGAGCTGTAGGACCCACCCCATAAGGCACGACAGGGATTTCCTGAGGTCAACTGTGCATGGCAGAGATACAAAGACTTTTGTGAGGTTGCTACTCACACCAAAAGCTGGGATTTATTGTCCAAACAGTACTTAAGCTTGCATTTTGATTAAAACCATCACATTAAACAAATCCTCATGTGTTACACTGTTAATTACTATTTTTAAAAATGTGTCAATTAGAATTAGGTACTATACTATAGACTACTGGAGAATCTGTTTGTAGTTGGGACGTGAACTCCAACATCCATTTTGGTAGGGATACCTCCAATATCACGTTTTCTTAAATGAACCTCCTGCCATGACTTGATGTTGCAGAGACATGGGAAGAGAATTCAGCGTGAAGTCCCACACAACCCTCCATTGACAGGAGCTTGGAAACAACACAGGCCCTTAAGAAATGCTGGAGCTACTCAGAGATACTAGATGGACCTCAGATGGTATGCAGTTCTCAACAGACACCATGTGCTTCCTTGTGAATAAGTGTATATCTGATTACATTTTAGAATATGTGGTTTCTTTTAAGGAGCTGTTACAAAGTTACCCAGGATGTAAGGAGCCATTACAAGTTAGTGTGCATGCACTGGGTAACTTTGTAACTTTCCATCCCTTGGTCTCTGCCTTTCCTATGGTGTCATGTGGTCCGATGAGTTGCAGCCAGTCAGGAGGTGACAAGTCCAAGGCGGCGGTTGTCAGCCTATATAAGGGATGGGTTTTTGGGAGTTCGGGGTCTCTGCTCTGTAAGCTTATGCTCTCCCTCTCAAGACACATTACAGCTTTACTCAGAAGGATCCTGAGTGTGCCGCGTCGTTCTTGCTGGCGAGATGGTAGCGCGGGACAACTGGTGCCGGGAATGGAGACCTCATCATCGTCAGCGCCATCGGAGACCCCTTGGCTACAAGGAGGATTCAGAACTGCAGGCAGGTATGATTCAGAGAGGTATGTCTTTTCTGGATGTTGGCTTGGGATTGTCACCACCTAGGGAAGGTAGTGTCGAGGCTTTTGTGCTTGTCCTTGGAGCCATCTTGATCTTTTTCACTGTTGTAGCACCCTTGAAGAGGTCCAGGATAGCATGTCAGAAACTGATCGTAGTGAGAGGTTGGGCGCGCGCAAGAGAAAAAACTGTCCACAAACAAGGAAAAAGGCCCTCCCGGTGTGTCTAATGACAAGGGAGTGTATTTGTCAGATCCTAGGGATCCTCCCCCTGTTGTTAAATTAAGGGGAGGAGCTGGCTTATGCCCTGTACATGAGCTTGAAGCCTTAAATCTTGATAGCTCTGATGACTCTGAAAGCTCAGGAGATGAGGTCTTAGATACTGAGGAAGAAGCTGAGCTAGATGAGGAGGCTGCTAAATATGAGGAAGAAAGATACCAACCGGATGATCATATACAAAGTAGCAAAAAACCTCGAAGACGGCAGTTTCAAACAGCCCTCTCACAGGTTGTTCCTTCGGCGCCTCCTCCCTGAGACGTGCCCGAAGTCTTATTCCTTTCTTCCAGAAAATGTAAAAACAAAGCTGCGCCTCGCTTTTCCCGTCTTTGAGGGCATTGAAGGAAAAAAAAAACTTTAGATGTGGAACAATTGGACATATTATGGCAGATGGCCCAACTAGGCTGTGAGCAGAAGCTCCCTGGCCTATGTGTCACCTCCATCCAATATGAGAATTTCACCAAAGCAGCTAATCTGTCTAAAAGCCTTTCTCAGTTCATGTTGCAGAACTGGACCTCCGAATTTGAGCAAACGCTTCGGGAGTTGAGAGCCGCTATTATCCAGATTAACTCCACGCGCCTTGACCTGTCCTTGACGGAGGGATTGTCATCATGGATTGCTTCAGCTGTCTCCTATTTTAAGGAATGGGTGGGAGTGGGATTGTTTGGTGGGGCCGTTTGCTGCGGATTGGTGTTGCTTCTCTGGCTGGTCTGTCAGCTCAGGGCTCAC